GCACAGTGACTGCAGGGCCCTTGCTGGATGCAGTCGTGTCCCCCGCCGGTGCCCCCCCTCCAGCAGGCACCAGGCAACACAGAGTGTGTGAGCAACCCAACCACAGTGTCCCCAGCACTCACTCAGAGCTCTGCAGCACCCGGGGCATGGTCTCCACCAGCGGGTAGAGGCGCTCAGCCCCCTCCTCATCTCCCTGCAGCCAGTGAATGACGGTGCCAATGATGGATGCCCACCACTTGGACACAGGGTCGGTGCCTGTGGGGCAGGAGGGACAGGGGAGGGGGGTGTCCACCAGCCCTGTGGCCCCCACATTAAGTGTCCCCAGGAGGGGGACACGCTGGCCTCACCTGTGACGGCCGCCAAGCCAGAGCTGATGGAGGTGGTGGGGCTGGGCTCACTGCTGGAGTCAGAGCAGCCATTGAGCAGCTGCAGGTATTCCAGAGCGTCAGAGAAATGCCTGCTGGGAAAGGGGCCAAGGGATCATAAAGTCATTGTGGTTGGAAAAGAATTTTAAGATCACCAAGTCCAATGATTAACCCAGCACTGCCAAGGTCACTACTAAACCATGTCCCTCAGCACATCTACACAGCTTTTCAATTCCTCCAGGGATGGTGACTCCACCACTGCCCTGGGCAGCCTATTCTAGTGCCTGACAACCCTCTGGGGGAATAAGTTTTCCATAATATCCAATCTAAACCTCCCCTGGCACAACTTGAGGCCATTTCCTCTTGATCTTGGGAACAAGAACATTTGTTTCTTGGGAGAAGAGACTTACCCGGACTCACTCCAACCTCCTTTCAGGGAGTTATAGAGAGCAAGAAGGTCTTGACTCAGCCTTCTTTTCTCCAGACTAAACACCCCCAGTTCCCTCAAGCTACTCCACAAAAAACATGTGCTCCAGACCATGAAACTGTGTCCAGCTCTGTTGCCCTCCTCTGAACAAGATCCAGCACCTCAGTGTTCTTGCCATAAGGAGACCAAAACTGAACCCAGGGCTGAGCACCCAGGCTGGGTGGGAGGAGCAGAGTCCCCACCCCAACACTTACCCCTCTCCCTGGGCAGCTGAGCGGCCAGGCTCAGACATGGCAACACAGCACAGAGCCTTCTCCAGGAGGTGCTCACGGAAGAGCTGGGTCACCTGTGCCAAGGGGTCCACTGCAGCACAAAGAAGTGGTGAGCAGACCCGCCATCACCCCAAAATGGGGAGGCTGGGGGTGCCCGATGGGCAGGGGGTGGGGTGGTTACCTGGGTTGCCAGCAGAGCTGTAGATGGTCTCCCTCGGGACCCCCTTGACAGCCCAGTCCCCATCCACGAAGAATCGGTGACCCAAGGGGTGACAGAGCCACTGCATGGCGGGGGGCACGGCCCCACCATGGGACAGGGCCACGCGCCGGGCGCTGCAGAGGAAAGGGCGCTGCGGGGGACAGCAGGGGATCAGGGT